AAAAAGGTTTGATTGCCTTTTTCTCTTCCTGGTAGGCATACACAAAAAAATTTAGGAAAAGTAAGCCAATACATGCCTTCCTATGAGTTACTTTAATTAGCTGATGAATTCCTTTCTTCCCTTGCTAGAGAAGAGGTGAGCATTTGGGAGAAGTAGTCCTGCAGCTTTGGAGTACTCTGGGCTTGGGCAGGCAAGGCAGGCACCAGGCCTGCCAGCAGTGCAGATGGCAGACAGGGTGTTCCACAAGTCGGAGGAAATTAGAAAAGCCAGGATGAAATAGCAAGCATTTCCTGCTGAATATGACAGCTGGCTTTGAAAAATGGTATCAAGTGCAGAACTCTTCACTATCTTTTTGATTGTTTTCTGATTATTGTGCTTATAAATTGACATTTTAGAAAGTGTTCTAGAGAGCATCATTTATGATCTGGATGAATCACAGATTAATTGGGAGGTCTACATAGGGACGCCTCTTTCCCCTGTTTTCATGGCATGAGTGAAATTACTGGTGTCAGATCAGAACCACTCTTCAGTTAAGAAATGAAAAATTCCTTGTATACTGTCTCCTGGTTCTCTGTATGTGTCCAGAGAAATTGATATGTATCTCATATTTTTCTCCATACTGATTGAATGAGTTTTAGACTGTGATAAAAATATTTTTATTTGAAAAACTGATTATACATACATTTCTCTGACATTCTTACAGTTTTCAGGGGGGAGAAATATGTGCATACCTGCTGAAAACTGTGAAGTTACTTTTAGTGTAGATATATCATCTTTTTACCGCCCCCCCCCCAAGATTTCTTTTTAAATGGCTCACAGTTAAATTTAAATTTCTATATTTAGGTAGGATTGTGTTTATATACCAACCACCAGTATCCAGGAAGTCCAGTGGGAAAGCTGACACATAGGGAGCTGAGAGTCTGTTTTGTAGTCTGGGTATTCAGAGAAAGTTTGAAACTTACTTAGCAAAATGACTTAAACACACAAGCAGATTTCCTTTAGCACAAATGTACTATTTAATTTCAAATAGTTAAGATAGCAGTGTGTCACTTTTTAAAGAGGAGTTCTCATGAATGTGTGTTGCAGTTAGCTCCTTTCAAAGAAAGGCACACAGAGGAACAGCTTTTATATGTAAATATGCTTATAATACTTGAGATTGAGGAGAGTTGGTTTGGTGCAATCAGCATGGTTTGATCAAATTTGGAAGATGTTACAGGCACATTTTTGGAGCATTTGCTCCAGCATCTTTATTTTTTTCAGATGGATGTATTTTATGTTCCTTCCAACTAATCAAAATAAGAAACTGAGTTTGCCTTAGCCAAAAAATAGAACTATCGTTTTTCACATTCTTTTATATTCCGGGTCATTTTCAAGTAAGATTATATTTCTAGGGCTTCTGAATTCCTGAAAACTCTTGACTTTATAGCTGTAAAGGACCAGATGAACATTTCAGGGGGAATCTAACTTTTCAGGCAGTGTGTTTTGTGTTGTGCTTCCCAGATACAGTTCACTTTTTGTGTGTGTGTAATTAGTGTGGAAAGAAATTAATGCCGTCCAGTATTATGATTTATGGACTGAGTTCTTTACCCACTGAAGACTTGCCAAAACTAAAAGTATTTTTTTTCCTTTGGATATTAGAAACAGCTACTGTTTTTGTTGATCTTTTAAAGTCCTGAATGGGCCTATTTCACATCATACCAGCATGAGAGCTCAGATTAATAATATACTTATTCAACTAGTGATACTGAGTGAAACCATGGCTCACATGGGTAGGAAGGATAAAATTTCATAAAATTATTTTCAGGTGCATTAATGTATTTCTGGAAGCTGTGTATAATTTTTCTTTTGCATGAAAGAAATCAAGGATTTCTGTTTATTGTATCCATTACAGGTGGGCTCATAAGTTAATTTAATTGCATTTTTTGATATCTTAAAACACAGGGAGTTTCACTTTTAAAAGCAATAATGTGATTGCTGGATTATTCCCCAAGGTCTTTAACTCTTAGTAGATTTATCTCTCTGGAGACATCATGATTGTACTATATGTAATTTATATTATGGAGAAAATTTCCTGAATTTCCTTTGTTGTTAGTTACAGCAAGCTGCTGAAGTTTCCCAGCTGCGGGGAGCAAGGGTAATCTCTGCTGAAGATCTTCTGTTTTTGATGCGAAAAGATAAGGTAATATACAACCATTTCATGCTGTTAAATACCAGGTGGGTTGCTTAATTGAACTTGTGTAAGGAAGCTACAAGCCCTTAGGATAGTGCTCAAATTAGGATCAGAACTATTGGACCAATGTTTAGCTTTCATGATTTACACAACAAAACTTCAAGACTTTTTTCTTTTTCACGGGAACAGCACTTGTGCAAAAACTGTACTGCAGTGACTCTTCAGTTGTCCTTATTTCACTTGGACACTTTTGTGGCTCTGTCCTATTCACTAGCTACCAGCTCTGGGCTTTGTTCTTATAAGTGGGACAGAACAGAGCAGCACTTTCTTTTTCTTCCCGTTTTGTACCTACCTTAACACTAATAGGATTCAGATTTTCATAGAATAATTTTAATTTGAAATACAAAGTTTATTCTCTGGCACTGGACTAGAGAAATAAACAGACTAAGGCAAATATTTCAAAAGTATAATACTATGATTTCTACTTTTATCAAATATGCTTGAACTCTTGGTATTAAGATATTCAGGCTGATATTTGTATGCCTATTTCTGTCATAACTTTATATGAGTAGCTAATTGAATATGTTCAGTGCTACTTTACCTGTTATAATTAGCTTCTCACTAATATGAAGAATATGTAAAGGAAAAGAAATGAAGTTTAGAGTTTGTTATCGGAAATTATGTGATTTACTTGAAGTATTTTATAGAATTTCAAGGTTGAATGGTAGGGTGAAGAAGCAGAGTTGTTGAAATGAAAGGATGTGCCTAAGGTGAGGCACATGTGTTCCTACATAGAGTGTACCAAATGACAAGAAAACTAACCAGGATGCTGGCTCGGTAGTCAGACACAAAGGATCTTTGCTCTGGTGGCTCTGGACGCGAACTGGAAGATGTCGATAGAGAGAGTGACAAGTGAGGCTGCAAGATTTGGTAACTTGTTCTATATTTGGAGGATTCTTGAGAGAAATAAGCCTCAGGTCCCATGTACCCATGGTGCTGAGGAAGGAGTCCTGAATTCTGCTGTTACAAAAAATGTAGCCCGTACCAAAGGTTCTTTGTGGGAGCAACTGGGAAACAGCAGCATCGATTGGCTCTTTGCACCACTTCTCGCCAGTGTTTCTTTTCCACTGATAAAGATCAGCACAGGCACTGTCCACACTGACTTCTTCCCCCTGTGGGGAAGCAAAAGGTTTAAACAGTTTGTATCCTACAGAACTCCAGGAACATGCACCATTTGACAATGCTTATCTGCTGTCCAGAAGGACTCCTAACCAGAATCTTTTTACCAATCAGCAGCATACTTGTGACAAAACAGTTGCCAGTTTTCTTATTTCTCTTAAATAATAATTTCATTTATATGATGAAATATTCCCAAAAGAATTTAAAAGTGCTTGCGTAGGTAAAAATATTAAACAAAATGGAACCAAAAGAGTGAATTGAATCAGGCAAAGAGAAAAAGGTGGTGCAAGATCTGTTGGGAGCTTTGTGATTTCTCTCTTGATGTTTCTGGTTCTGTGTCAAGCATTTTTATAGTCTCTGCTGTGTCTTTTGTGTTCACGAAGTTGTCTCCCCTACTCTCTCATCAAATCCTCACAATAGCATTTTAGTAATTACTTACTTTTCAAATGAGAACATGAGATTCAGAGGTTCTATTCTACTTCTGGCCCTCGTTGTCCCTGTATTTAAGAAGAGATTAATGATATTTTTTCTGTGTTTCAGGGCTAGTGAAATATCAGATGATATGCGTGTCCAGAGCTTTGTGTAATGCAGTGTTTGCATTAGTATTAGAAATCTTGAGGCTGAAGCTCAGGAACTAGAGACAATACATTCTAAATGTCGGCACAGAGCAAGCTGTAGGCAATACAGTCATACACATAAAATAAAAATGAGCCAGTGATAGTCATTGTGACATCTACAGAAGGCATCGCTGAGGATTGTCACTCACCAGCTTTGAGTTTCTCAGGGGCATATTTCTCAGGTTACAGAATACCTTCCATAAATATCCCATGCAAAGGTTCTCAAGTCAGGCCTGGTGGTGCATGCCTGTAATCTCAGCACCAGGGAGGCTGAGACCAAAATATCTCAGATTCAAGGCCAGCCTGGGTGACATCACAAGGCCTTATCTAAAAGAAATATATAAATAAAAATTTTAAAGGAATAGTTTTAAGCCCCTTGTCTAGATGTTTATAAATCTATTTTAAATAAATTTTTGTCTTAAAGTGTATAGGAAATTCCAAAGTTCTAGTTACTAGCTTACTAAAGGCAATGTGGTATTTATTGAAATCATCAAAAGCAATTTAAAATGCTTTCTAAAATACACAAAAAGTATCATTATGATTCTGGAATGTCTGGAGGGATGCTAGGGGGAAAAATGCCTTAAAAATACTTAGGTTTGGAGTTGAAGAGATGGCTCAGCAGTTAAGAGCACTGGCTGCTCTTGCAGAGGACCCTGGTTCGATTCCCAGCACGCACATGGTGGCTAACAACTGTCTGTTAACTCCAGTCCCAGGGGATCGAATACCTTCTTTTGACCTCTGCAGCATTGCATGACATGGATGCACCTACCTCCATGCAGGCAATACACTCATACACACAAAAAAATAATAAAAATTTTAAAATACTTAGGTTTTGGCCGTTATGATGAAGTGGATGACAGTGCTTCCACTTCATACTATTATGCCAGTGATTGCTTCTTCCCCACCGTGACCGGGAGGTCCTAGTCTACTAAATTTAGTTCTCAAAGTGATCTTTTATTGGCAAAGAAAATCTGTATAAATGTTCTTCTTTTATATTTTGATAGAAAAAACTTAGAAGACTTCTAAAATACATGTTTATTCGAGACTACAAATCAAAGATCATCAAAGGCATCGACGAGGATGATCTTCTAGAAGGTAACCCAAAGAAAGCACTGAACTAAAAATGACAGCTTTTGACAGACACATGTACTCGAAATGAAACTGACTCACACAAATGTGTATTCATTTTTCATATAAAGTATGAGATGTGGTGTAGCTGCTTCATTCAGATCTCTTGTTCCTGTGCAATTTAAAACCTCACATAAACTGTAACATAAAGTAGAAAACTTTATCTGATCTGCTCAGTTCCTTCTTTTAGAATATTTAGGGAAATGTTAAGGTTGCAAAGCTAAATAGTGCTAAGCTGAATATGAGTACTACAGAATGCTTACAGAATCAAAATGAATCTCTAAATTTATTGAGAAATGTTTTTAGAAACAACTCACTTTTTCCAGGAAAGCTGGGGGCTACAGGGAGACCCTGTCTCAAAAAAGACCAAAAAAAAAAGAAAGAAAGAAATAACTCACTTTTATTGTTGACAGCCATTATATTGACATCCATTGCTAATATGTTGATAAACTACTAGATTAAGGAGAATTTTAAAACCTAAAATAAACAAACTATGAAAGAAAGGTAGTTGTTTTATTTATTATCCTCTGAAAAAGGAAAAGGCCTTGCCAAAAATTTAAAAAATAAAATAAAATGCTTGTAGGGGCTGAGGAGACAGCTCAAGCTCAGTTGGTAAAGTGCTTGCCATTAAGTGTGGGGACCTGAGTTTGTTTCCCCGAACCCACATTTATAAGAGTGAGGAAGGATTGTAATCCCAGAGCTGGGGAGGCAGAGGCAGGCAGATACTGGAGCTCACTAGCCCACCAGCCTTACCTACTATGAGCTCCAAGCCACTGAGAGAACACATCTCTAAAACCAAGGTGAACAGCACCTGAGGGATGACACTCAAGGACACCCAAGGTTGTCCTTTGTGCTTCACACACACACACACACACACACACACACACACACACACACACACACACAAAGAAAAAATACTTCTGACGAAATATATTGTACACTAACATCTTTTTGATATTTTGTTAATTCCCATAGAATTTAACTCCTGGAAAATAGGGGAAAATCTTATTCATTTGTTCTTTGCTTTGCTTTTGTTTATCTTGCAATTCTGGGTGCTAGCCCCAGGCTTTGTGGAATGCTAGGCAAGTACCTTACACTAAGCTATTCTCAGCCTTAGAAGATGAATTTACATATTTCCTTTTATGGAATTCATGAAGAATATTGATGGGAGGCAAAACAGACCCATATTCCAATCAAACCCAGCTTTCTATGTGGGTGACCTAGAGGGTCAGTTTTCTCATTTCTAAGAGGGAAATTGTACCACCTGCCACGTGGAGTCTGTGATGTATTATAATCATTTGATACATGCCTGCCACTTAGTAAGTTATGGCAGTTATAGCATGTTTTGAGTATCAAGAAGCTCAGAGTAATACCCATACTCTTGGGTTGTGCTAACAGCCATCATGATAGTTTGATTCCCTGTCTTTGTTTGAGATATTCCACCTACATCTTAATTTACAAAATCTAACTCTGTCTCTTATAAACAGTACACTGCATAGTTAACATAATTTACAAGAAAAGTATTCCAGCAAAGCACATCTAATTCTGGGGTGCACTTTCTAGAGTGGTTTGAATAGCTATGTGAGAAGCTTGGCAGACTCTGTCGTCAGGGAAATACGTCTAACTAATAAAAGATGATTTTAAAAGCCACTGAGAAATTAGGTATTCAATAAAATCTATGACATTTTGTTAAGAATAGCAAGAATCCATTGTGTTGGAGCCATGACCTGCTCTCTTCCTTCCCCCATCACTCACCACCCTCTACTCTGTCACACAGCTTTGTATGAGCGGAGCTCTACCTTAAGGATGAGGGAGGAACACCAGGCTCCCCATTATCCATCTCCCAATCTAGAGCAAGGAGAGCACGACCACAGCATCCCTCATCCCCAGAGGCTCTGTTCTAAGCAGGCACAGCTGAGGTGGCTGGGCCTCTCTGCTTCCCTCATCCTTTACTCACACAGAAGCCTGAGAACACTGGATCCTGGTTGCTGGCACCCTAGCTTCCTCATAGGAAGCAGCTTACAGACTTCCAGATAAACTCAGGGGATCAGAAGAAACCACGCCTTCCCAGCTTCCTATAATTAGATCCAGTACCTCACAGATGTTACTTGGCGTTCTCACCCTGGGTCTAATGTAGTGCCGAGGTCAGCTTAGGCAGAGGAAGGCCTTAAGAACTGAGAGCTCTACCACTCTCTCCTAAGGAAGTTTCTTGCCATAGTGCATGTGGAAGCTCAAAGTAAAGACCTTATTTTTTTTTTAAAGCAAAATCTTACCAATGAGCTTTGAAGCACACACTGGTAACCCCATTACATCCTTTGCAACAAGCAGAGGAGTGTGCCAGCTGGATATTTGACAGAGGAAAAACAGCCAAGAAGAGCACAACCTAAGGATGACAATGCTTTGATGCTTCAAAGGAGATCAATATTATTTCTACCAATACATGAAATAATTAATGCCTGAGTATTAAAAAAAAAAAAAAGGAGTAGCACAGCCAGTGTGTAAGTACTGGTCTCTAGTAGCTGTGTATCACACAACTCATAAAGTTAGAAACTCAAGCCACAGTCATCACTGGTGGTGGAGAATGCACGTTCAAGTCTGCACCATTTGAGGACCAACAGACAGCAGAGACTACACACTAGGAGGAGAGAGATTCCAGTAGCCTATTCTAGTTAGCACTGAAGAAGGATCCAAACAGGGCAACAAGCCCACAAAAAGAAGGAAATTCTTATCTAGAGTCCCTACAATATCCATTTTCAAGAAGACATTAGACATGTAAAAGCACAATAGATAGGAGCTATAGAAGAGAGAAACCAAAGTAGGCAACAAAAATTACCTGTTAGTTCCATATATTGGATTTTTCACACTAAAACTTCAAAGTATCTATTTTAAGTATGCTGAAATAAATAAAGGAAATCATGTCCAAAGACAAAGGAAGCTGTGATGACCTTGTTGCACAAAACACTCTTGAATTTAAAGGTACATTGAGGGCTGAGGAGATGGCTCAGCAAGTGAAGGCACTTGCTGTCAAGCCTGGCAGCCTGAGTTCTATCCCCAGAACCCACATGATGGAAGGAGAAAACCACATCCTCACATAAGTACCATGGCATGAGCTTGCCCTATCCCACAATAAACAAACAAACAAACAAACAAACAAATAAATAATTTTAAGAGTACAATGAACAAAATGAAAAGTAGCCGAACATAAAGATTTGAACTGGCAAAAGCAAGAATCAGTGAACTTACAGACATCACTAAAGACTGTGCAAGCTAAGAAACATAAAAAATTATGAAGAAAAATGAACTGAACTTCAGAGAAATGTAGGCACACTTAGTATTTATATGTTAATATATTTCTAGTGTATTTATTATATTTAATAATGTGTCAGAAGGAAGCAAGGATGGATCAGAAAATGATATCCAAAACATAATGACTGCAAACTTGTCAGATTTGATAAAATTATTAGACCCATGTCCATGTAACTCAGCAAGCTCCAATAAGATGAACTCAGGAAATGTCCACTGAGGCACACTGTAGTAAAGACAACGTGACAGTCTTGAAAATGGAATCTCTGGGAAGTAGTTACGTCCTTGGAACTCTCATGGAGGGTCTGTGTACTTCAAAGACAGCCAACTATAAAACCCAGTAGATTTGGACTGGAAAGATGGCTCAGTATGTAAGAGCTCTTGTAGAGGACCTGAGTTCAGTTTCCAGCATCCCTATTAAAGGGGCTCCCAACCACTTGTAACTCCAGTTTCAGAGGATCTAACACCTCTGGACTCCATGAGAATCTGCACTCACGTGTACATCCCTACACACAGACACATGTATAGCAGATAGCAACATACATACTAGTGAGAGATTAGATACTTTCTTCCCTGGAATCAAGAATAAGACAAGGATACCCACTCATTCCACTTAGTTTATATTGTACAAATTAATGATGCTTAGGCAGGAAAGGAAATGCAGGGCATCCAGATTGGAAAGGAAAAAGTAAAACTGTATTTGTATTTGACATCATCTTATACAGAAAAAAATCTTAATCCACTAAAAGCCATCACAACTAACAGACAAATTTAAGTTTTCTGGATACAAGATAAATATATATATGCAAGTGGATACACTTTCTATATACTCAGAATGGACAATCCAAAATGAGGCTAAGAAAGCAATTCTATCAAAATGCTATTCACAACAGCATCAAAAAGAATAAGATATTTTGGAATAAATTTTACCAGTGACCCACAAGATTTCTACTCAAAAGCTATAAATCATTGTTGGCAGAGAGGAGACCTAGAGAACAATTCAAGGTAAACTGTGTTCAAGGATTGGAATTCTTAGTATTGTTTAGGGGATAGAAGTCCCTAAAGTCATCTATAGATTGTGCCTGCTTTATGTTGAATGAGCAGAGTGACTTTATCATTCATATGGAAATATCAGGTGCTAAAAAGGAAAAGATCCCTTTTCTAGACTATTCAGGACCCAGAATAATCTAAACCATCTTAATAAATAACAAAGTTGGAGGACTCAAACTTACTGATTTCAGAACTTACTATAAATACATTATTATCCAAGAATGGTATGATTGGCAAAAGGATAGACCCTCATCCATGAAATGAACAGAATTGAGAGTCCACAGCCAAGTCTAAGAGGAGAGGATCAGTCGATTTTCTTTGACAGGGTTTCAGAACAATTTAATAGGGAAAGAGAAGTTCTTTTTTTAAAAAATGGTGCTGAGATGACTCAGCTGTGAGGAGCACATACTGCTTTATCAGAGGACCCAAGTTCAGATCCTAGCACCCCCATCAGGTGGCTCACAAATGCCTATAACTTCAGCATCAGGGATCTAGTGCCCTTCTGGCCACCATGAACACCTGCACCCACCCACACATGCACACAAATAAATAAAATCTGAAAGAAGAAAAAAAAAAAAAACAAGCAAACAAATGGTACCAGTACAAATGGTACATCTAGAGATCTATATAGAAAAGTAAGACTTTGATCACTTCATAGCACAATATGCAAAACTTTCACTCAGTAGAAATCACTGAGCACTCATAAGAGCTCAAAAGACAAAATTCTTGAACGAAGTACAGCAGCAAATGTTGGTGACAAGCCACATCAAAATCACAAACAGCAAAAAAATATTAAATTCAAATTTTTACAAATTTAAAGCTTTTGTACAATTCTAAGAACATAGCAATATGAAAAGACACAGAATTGGAAAAAAATTATGTCGTATTTTTAAGGCATTACTGTAGATAGAATGTATAAAGAACTGTTCAATTCCATAATAAAGACAAATAATGTGATGTAAAAATGAACAGAAGATCTGAGAGATTTCTGCAAAGCAGTAAACCAATAGCTGATCGACCCTGGAGAAGATGGTCAGTACTAACCATCATGGAAATGCAGATTGGAACCAAAGCAGTATACTCCTTAACCCCCACCTGGGTGACACTGACTAAAATGGCAGATGATAGCAAATGCAGCTGCAGCTATAGAGCGGTCCAGCCTTCTTATATGGTTTGTAGGGCTGTAAAGTGGTACAGGCACTTCAGATAACATTCTGGAATCTTCTCAAGAAGATAACAGATAAAGCAGCAATTCAGCTCCCAGTGAAGATGAATGCGATGTCCACATAAAAATTTGCGCATGAATATGAAAAACAGCATTATTCACATTAGTACAAAACTAGAAACAACTCGAATGTCTGTCAATATATGAAGACATAAATTTAGAATGTTAATGCAAAGGAATATCTTTGAACAATAAAATGGAATTGAATACCAGCATGCTCAAATGTGGATGGGCCTTGAAAGCCAGAAGTGGAAGAAGGCCACCAGAGGCTGCACATGTCATTTGAAGAAGGGTCTACAGTTGAAGAGCCATAGATAAAGGAAGATGTGGACTAGCTTTTACCTGGAGCTAGGAACAGAAAGCGTTGCACTGGACTTTCATCTAAAACAGGAAAACAGCTCTTGGCATTAAAAAAGGAAACATCTTATTAACATTGACTACCCAAACTAATAAAAGTAGGAGTAACTGTAACGAGAGGACATTTTAACTGAAGAATACTAAACCTCCCAGTTGGTCCAAAATAAATAAGCAAAATTAATGCTGCATTAGGTGTAATTCCAATAAAGTTTTCTTGGAATTGTAAGAAAATATCCTAGCATCTCTATGGGACAGTTGGTGTCCACATGTGGTTTGGGAACTCTGCAATAGAAGAGTGAGAGTGTCTGAGCCCGGGGTTATTGAGGACTCTACACAGATGTCTGTGACACACCAGTAAGTCCCAGAACACAGTCTAAGACAGAAATCAGAGGTACAGCAAAGGGAAAACACTTAGTGATTATGGTATTGTACATGTATTTGAAAGATGACAGAAGTGAACCTGCAACATTTACCATATACAAAGTAAATTCTAGACGGAGTAAAGATGAAAAACAAAATGCAGTAAATCCAAAAAGAAAATTTGACACTTGGCATTTTGTAGTCTGTAGAATCGTAGAGCAAAGTTCTATAACAGAAGTTATAGAACTTGAAAACAGAAACACTTTAGATTACTTTATTGCAAAAGATGCTCTTAAAATTAACAGGCAAAGGAAAAATATTTTTATTTTAATGACGAAAGACAGAATGAAAGAGTCCTTCTCATTGACAAGAAAAAAACAATCCAGTTAAATAGGCAAAAGAAAAAATAGGCAGTAAAAAGGAAGGCTTATTCAGATAACCGACAGTCAGGCATGGTAGTGTACACCTTTAAGCCCAGCACTGGGGAGGCAGAAGCAGGCGGATGGCTATATAATGAGCTCCAAGCCAGCTGGGGCTAGAAGATCCTCTTTTTTTTATTTATTAAAAAAAAAAAAAAGCTGAATGACAGACATGAGAAAATGATTCAATTCCTTGTTAATTAGGGGGATTAAATCTCAATGAGTGTTTCATTTTATACTCAGACATTTCCTCTGTAGAGGAAATGCTGTGCCAAATGTGAAAGAGCAACGAAATAGGAAACAATTATAGATGATCTTTTCTAAACTTCAGGTTTTATAGTTTCTTCCACTCTCAGGCATCTGTGCTGTGGGAACAAAGCGGAGCATGGGCTATCTATATTGTAACACTTTCCCCAGTGGGAAAATGAAACTAAGTGCCTATAAACAGGATGGATGGAAAAGCATGGTCCATATAGAATGTAGCGCGTAAAGGATTATGCAGGCCTTACAAGAGACTTAGGCAGTATCAGGAATGCTCTCAAGCTTTCTCCTCCACTAAGAAACATAGACTGAAGAGAGAAAATGAAAACAGAGGCTACACACACCCATCTCTAAAAAGGAAGAGGTAGTGAAGCACCCACATCAAGGCATGTTTACGGGCTACACGGGCCGTTGCCACACGAAAGATGGCTAATGAGAGTCATGTCTGAGGGTAGCTGATAGCACAGAGAGACCAGGAAAGGGGAGGAGGTTCAAGGAAGAAGCAGGTCATGTGGTATTGGAGGCTGGCTGTGTGTCTTTTCTTTTTCCCCTTGGTGTTAGGGATTGAGCCCAGGACTTTACACATGCTACATAGGCACTCTACCACCAAGCACCTCCCTAACCCTTGTTTTGATTCCATTATACGTATGCACTAAAACATTAAAACTTTCATTTAAAAATAAAATGGTAAAAGTGACAAGAAAATAACACATTTTCCTCTTTCTATAGGTACGAAAGCACTTCTGTTTTTTTATAAATCTTCGGTCTTACTGTAAATTGTCAAATTTTGAAAGAAATGTATCAAATATCTTACAATGTTTATACTTTTAATAAGTTTCCTTTTGTGGTGTTTATTTTTCTGTTGTCTTGACTGCATAAAAATATATGTCTGTTAGCCTTCCTTTCAGCCTTAGTATTCTGTCCTGTCTTATATAGTGCTTTTGGTCATGAACTAGATTTTCTGACATTAATGGTTATTGATTCTGCTTTGCTCATGTGTACCTGGTAAATCCCTGCTTACCTTCTTTCCTGGCTTTGTTCTACTCCAATTATAAGTACCATGCACCAGTATTCTTTGCCAAAATCCGAGAGCTCCCTCCTTACGGGATCTCAGTCAGCCCTTTACACTTACTGTGGTAGTAATTATTTTATTCTGTCGGTTTAATTTGTGATGTCGATAAGTGACTTCCATTTTTATTTTTGAGGCAAGAGTTCTCTGTAAAGATGATCTTGAGCAAATTCCCACCCTGAATTTCATGTGCAGTGTTTGATGCTTGTGCTGGTTCCTGCTAATACAACCCTATTCAGAGCATTCCCCCTTTTCTTTCCTTATCTTTGTGAAGACAAATTGAGCGGTGGCAGCAGCACAAACAAAAGACAGAAAATTGCTCAGGACTTGATCAACTCTATTGACCAGACAGGAGAACTCTTGGCAATGTTTGAAGACAATGAAGTGGATGAAGTGAAGCAGGAAAGAATGGAGGTATAGTATGTTCTTGTCCTCAACAGCACTGGAGCCATCCCAGCTGTGCTCTTTGGCTCTATTCCAGTGCCCTTTAAATGTCTCCTGATTTTGCCAGATCAGTGGCTTTGTCTAGTCCCAGCGGTGCACAGGAACGAGCCCTAGAAAGGCACAGCACTTTACCTTCACAGTTGACTTTAGGGAACACCTGGAGTTTTCTGTATCTCTGTTTTCTCCTTTGAAAATGTCAAGTTTTCCCTGCGCTGGATCTGGCATTTGCTGGTGTGTCTGTTCTATTAAATCTAGTTTAGATTAAATACATATTTTTTTGTTCCAAACTATTATTACCTCTGGGGCAAAGGTAATTCTTACTGGTTTTGCTTTGGCATCTAGAGTGAAGGTAGTGTCCTGAGAAGCTACATGCTTTTTTATCACTGTCACAGAAAGTTAGTGGCCTGCATTCATAGTCTCTGCATGTCTTCATAGTGAATGTAAAAATCGTATGTCTTCTATTTACCTTAGCTATCCAGACATAAAATTACTGCTTCTTTAAATATACTCCAGGAAAAATAAAAGTAATGATTTATTTCATTTGAGTGCCTTCCAGAATACAAGGTAGTGTTCCTACGGTTCTTGTTACTATTACTATACTTCTGCCCGTATTAAAAGGAATCTCAGTTTCCCCTTTCTCTTTCAATTGGGCAAGAAAGGTAATTCCAGAATTCTAAAAAATTTTGAGTGCCTACTTCGTCACAGTCTCTGTGCATGCTTAAAAAAAAGGATAATTATTTCATGTTAAATTTTGGAAGCAGTCCAATTGACATATATGCTTTATAAATTTTAACAACCTTCTTTAAAGAATTAGCATGCTTAGATCTTGAACTGTGAACTGAAGGCAGTGTTCTCCTAGGTATCAATTACCTTGGAAATGTGTGGTTATCTTGGTTTGGGGCAACTGCAAATGGTTTGGGTTCAACTTTGCCGTGGGCCAAAAACATGCTAAGCTGTCCAGAGCAGATGATAAACATGCATTTCTGATGTCGTTATGGCCTCAACAGGATATGATTGTGTGGGGGCATGGTTTCACTTAGGATGAGTTACTCAGCGAGCAAATACTGTTTGGACTTTATTTTTTAAATATTTTATGTTATAAAATGAGCATTAAGAAGGCCAGTAAGGAAGGACTCTACATAAAACAAGTAAAAATTTAACAAGTCACTTTGCAATTTTGATAGGGAAAATCTCAGCTAAACAAGTGAATTGCCCAGAAGGTCATTCTGTAGTTAAGAAGAATTGAAAGGGAGTGTTTTGTGACACTAAGCTCATAATCGCAGCCTACCGTAGACCTGGAAGAATGTTGAGTCAGTAAGGAACTTGTTAAAATCAGTGGAGTATCAGGAAGTACACTGTAGGAAAAGCACTTAAACAGTCCACACTCCAGTATTGTGTTATGTAGTACTCAGTGGTAACCAGGGTAATAAACTATCAGCAAAAAATTGATAAAAATACTTAGGCTGTCAGGCTCATCTATACAGTAAGCCTGAAATTGACAGCTTAAGCCCATACCAGAATCTTCTCTATTCAAGATAACGAAGTAGTTTCAATATTTTACTCGCCCAAAATAACATTGTTGAACTGAATAAAAAATGATGGACTTGTAGACACAACTGTAGACAGTAGAAAGTGGAACCATTACGAGCAGAGGCCTTGCCTGCTTCTAATTTGACAGGTTATAGTTTCAGGAATAAACCACAGCTGTGGCAGTCCATATGAAACCACTTTGGGCTCACAGACTGCAATCTCTTGCTTTTAAAGTGCAGTGGAATAATCAGCCCCAGCATCATTCCATGATTTAATTTTCCTCTAAGCATCACTTACACTTAGAGAAACTATGTGTTACCTTCTTCCCTAGAATATAGGAAAAAGGTATAGACCTAACAACAAAGCTTTGTTGGGACTGGGTTTCTTTCCTGCTTTCTTTCTTTCTTTCTTTCTTTCACTTTCTTTGTTGTTCTCACTTAAAGGTAATTTTTATGAGAAACTTTTATAGACAAAAAGACTTGAGGCACTAGCTGCTTCTGAAAATATCAAGTAGACACGTGGAAAGCATGCCAGTCCTTTGCTGTCATTTCAGCTGATGTACATGTGCCTGGCTTTGTGTTTTCTCAGAATTTACTTCATTGCTGTTTAGTATTATGTGACCAGAAACAACAAAATTGTCTGAATTTTTATATCCTTTATACCTAATGGTCCATCATTGTCATCATTTAAATATCTCTTAAACTGTTTATCCTTCAGCACCAAATTTCCAACATTAGGCTATTTCGGTAGCAGAGATCCGTGATCATATCTCTGGTTTCTTCCAGATTAGCAATACATAAATAAATATTCATCTGAGTTATTTTAATATGTGTAAGGGATTTAGAACTGGAAGCAGGAAAATGGGAAGCCTAACAATACACATAAAGGCCCTTTTCCAGCCGCCTTCTCCCTAAATGAAGCAGGTTTGTTTTGGTATTGATGATGGGTTCTACATGGAATATTTTTAAACCTAATCAACGAGTAGCCATGGAAGGGTCATTAAAAGCTACAGATAGCTTTGTGTTCTCTTACCAAGATGCCCTCTGACAGGAAGGTTCTGCCTGAGACCAGCCTTTCTGCTTGGTGAAGGACCTGACAGGCTTCAGTTTATCATTGATCAAGTCAACCACCCCCTCTAAGGCAAGAAAGCATGGCCACTTGAAAAATCAGGGGAATTCTGCCTTCAGTCTAATAGAATGGTAAGCATACAGAACAGAGCCAAGATTAGAGCTTAATTGAGAGAACAGCCTTTAAACATGTTGAGGTGCAGAATATTCCTAGTGACTTTATATTTCATTTTTAATCCTATAATTTAATACTAGAATCTAGTGAGAAATCAGAGTGATAAACATAAAACATAAAGCATCTTAAAATTTTTTTGAAGAAGCTTTAAGCTGAGTGAAATCTCAGGTGGCCATCTGAATTTGCTTAACTTACAATGAACTGGCAATAGACTATTATGAAGAGTTTCCCATGAAGACTTAATGATAAGAGAAATCACCTGCATTTTTCAACTGAGCCCTAAATGTTGAGTTCTAATCCCTGGGAATTTTCAGTCCTAGGAATACAGTTTCTGGAGGAAAGTGGACTGGAAAACTCATCGGGGAACCACAGAGAGAAGCAGAAGTTCTGTCTCCTGTTTGTAAAGCGTGTTGTTTCTACTAGTCCCCACAGCCACCATCATGTTTTTTGTTTTTTTTTTTTAACATAAAGGAAAGGAAAATCAAATGCCTATAAAACTAAGAGTCTAGAAATACCTTCAATAAGATTTAACATAAAAAAGACGTGAATGAGTAAGCCCAACATTTACAGAGCTTCCCCTCTTCCAATTAAAATGATTTTAGGGGCTGAAATTCCATAAAATGTTTACAATATCAATGTATTTGGGTTTAGAAATGAAGATAGTTGCTAGTTTTGTGCCTTGGTAGTAGGCAGCTTGCCTAACATACATCAGGTCCTGGGTTCAGTCTCCAGGATGGTTGAAAGAAAGGGCCTATCAAAATCATATCCTAGGAAGCTGTGCTTCTAGTTTGTATGTATGAATGCATTTACACTTATAGTTTCATTTATAAACCTACATGTGCTGTGTTCATATGCATTCATTATATTTACAGGATTTGAAATACATTTTACTTGATGTTTTTAAAGGTAAAGGAACTATCTGAGATCTATCAGGCAGACCCAAATGCTATAGATAATAAGAATAGTTTCTCAGAAAAGAGAATTTAAGAAGAAAATCTTAAAAAGGAATAACAGCAGTGATTTTATGTTAGTAAGAGGTATTATAGTTAGCTATAATGGAGATACAGTAAACAGGAAGTATACAACATCTGATCCAGAGCCTTCAGAGAACAAGCCACCACTCTTGCAGTACAGGGAAAGGCAGCACAGGTGTGCTGTGCCAGAAACAAATGCCCTATTCTCAACTTTTCTTCAGTTGATTTGGATGAAGAAAAGATTTTAATAAACATCTGTTTAACATATATATTAATATATATTGTAAACCATGACCATATTAACAGAGTTCCATTAAATTCCAGAATGCCCTCTCATGCCACTTTGATCTGTCAGAGTTCAGGGAACACTGGACAGCAAATAAAACCCCTCACTATTATCAGGATATACAAAAAAACCATCACAGTGTACCTGTAATATAAAATTTTTATTTACATAAACCTTGAAGAATCAATTGAGAAAGCATTAAAACTAATAAAAGGCTTCCTAGCATCAGGTAAACACTGATTTTTAAAACAGTAGCTCCTACTACAATGCAATAATCGTCAGCACAGGAAATGAGTAGATGGCAGTTGCAGAGAGTACAAGAAAAAGCTCTATGGAGCTCCACATTGACAAGAAATGGAAGAAAAATGGTATTTAAGATGGATGGAAATATGAAAAACATTCAAATGAAGAAACACCGTGCTCCTGGACATGAAGACTGAACAGTATAAATATCTCAGGTGTTTGTAGTTTACTAGATTGGTTTAAATTAATTTCACGTGATCTTTGTAACAAAACTGTTAGAATTTCTTTTAAAGCTTTCTAAAGTAATGTTAGAATTTGTCTTAATTTATAAAAAAAATAGAATAGCTGCAATCTTTTAAGGCAGAATAGCAAACGTAGTTCAATTTGTACTACAAGATATTATAGCATTCCATTAATCCACTGTAGTCAGCAGTGCGTGGTTCTGGCATAAAACTCAACAGACATGCCAATAGAGAAAACAAATGACACGAGTGTAAAACAATTTAGTCACAGTACAGATGGTAGAGATGGTAGAGATCAGTGGCAGAAGGGTGCCAAGACAGATAATTGTTTGGAAAGAAATACAGGTATCCCTTTGCATTACACCTACAGTAAAAAAGAATTCCAAGGAGCATTGAATAATTTGCTATGAAAAATAAATTTTTTTAAAAAATAGAAGTAAATGCCATTAAATA